AGTGAGTTCCCTGTTTTCAGGCAGAGCCTAAATGATTGCTTGTCTAAGTTCATAAGATCATAGATAGATGGCTGGAAGGGACCTCAGAAGGCTTCTAGTTCAACCCTTTCATTTTTCAAATGAAGAAATATAGGCCAAGTGACTTTGCCCAAGGTCACAGAGCTAAGAAGTAGCAGAAAGGAGCTTCAAACACAGATCATCTTACTCACATCTAGTACCCATGTCCGTTACACCATACTGTCTCTGTGGTTTTTATAGAAGGAATTTCTGTTGAGGTTGTTCTGTGTCCCATATCTCTCCTCTCCTTATCAGCTAAACTCCCTGAGAAAGCCATATGTAATCCATGCCTCTATTCCCTTTCCCCTCACTCAGTTCTAAACCAATTACAATCTGGCTCCAATACCTAATTTGACTGAAACTACTCTCTTGAAAGTTCCCAGCAATTTCTTAATTGCTGAATCTAATGGCCATTTCTCAAGCCTCATTCTCTTTGTCCTTTCTGCAGCCTTTGACACTGTTGACCACCCTCTTCTCGTAGATACTCTCTCCTTTCTAGGTTTTCATGGTTCTCTTTTCCTCTAATTATCTCACTTAGTGAGAACTCCCATGAGAGCATTTATCTTCTATATGCATGTGATTCCCATATCCATATAGCCAACCTTAACCTTTCTCCTTAGCTCCATGTTCCCAGTACCAACTCTTTTTTTGGACATGTGGAACTGGATATCTTGCAGGCATCCCAAACTCTACATGTCTAAAGCAGTAGCCATTATCTTTTACCCAAAACCCTTCTGAACTTCCCCATTATTGTTGAGTAGACTCCCATCCTCCCAGTCACCCAGGCTCTTAACCTCAATGTCATTGTCACACACACTCTATGTATTCAGTCTGTTCCCGTGTCTTGTTATTTCTACTTTCATGGTGTTTCTTCTAACCTCCACTTCTCCACACTCACAAAGCCACCACCGTAGTGTAGGTTTTCATCCTCTCATACCTGGTCTATAACAGTAGCTTTCTGGCTGATCTCCCTGCTAATCTCTTTGGCATTTAAAGCCTTTAACAACCTTGCACCGTCCCAGCTTTTCTGTTGTCTTATACTTTATTCCCCTCTGTCTATTCGGTGATCCAGGAATACCTATCTACCTGCTTGCTGTTCCTTGCACATAATACTCCTATATCTTGACTCCAGGCCTTTGAACTGTCTGCCTGCCTGGACTACTCATATTCTTCCTATTTATGTAATTGTTTTACTGACTTTCTTCTTTCCTTGTAACATGAGGTGGTTCATTGGATAAAGTGCTGGGCAGAATGTGGAATACCTAAGTTCTAATCTAGCCTCTGACACTTAGTAGCCCTGTGACCATGAGCAAGTCATTAACCTTAGTTTCTTCAACTGTCAAATGGGGATAATAATAACCCCTACATCCAGGGTTATTGTAGGATTGAATGAGATATTTGTAAAGTGCTTAGCACAGTGCTAAATACCTAATGGTAGCTACCTAATAAATGTGTGCATCCTTCCTGTTTTTTAAGATTTAGCTGAATTTTCACCTTCCACTGAATGCCTTTCCTGACCCCTCCTACTTCCTCTCTTTACCCACCAATGCCTTCCCTCTGTGATTGCCTTCCACCAATACTGTATATATCTCATATATACATAGTTTGTTTTCATGTTGTCTCCTCCATTAGAACATGAGCTCTTTGTTTTTGGGGGGTTTTTTTGGTTTTGCTTTGGTTGTATCCCTAGCGTTTACTGTAGTGCCTGGCATGTAGTAAGTTCTTAAGAAGTACTTACTGATTGACTGCATATATTAATATTTGACTTTGGTGAAGGTCAAATTTAACCTTAAGCTTTTATAACAGTAGAGTCAAACTACCCACTTTTGCAGGGCCATGGGAGTACCTTTGTAATGAAAATTTCGGAATTTAAAAAGAGAGATGAAAGACAGAACTTTGAAGTGGGAAAAAAAAGGTTTTCTCCCATCCACTATCTAAATATAAATAAGACACTAATATCAACAGATTTTGTGTATTTCAATCATGGACCTTCTTCCCCTTTTCTCTGTCCTCCCTAGTCCTTATAAGTAGGCTCTGAAAACACAGCAAAACTTCTCCCCCTACCACTCACTATTTGAATTTTGTTATGGGAAGGAACTAAAAGCTACAAGTCTTATAACTTGTAAGATGTCAGAAATAATTTGGGACATAATTGATGAAAGTGCTTCATCTATATTCTACCTCTTAGAGTGACAGATAACATATTCAGATGTGAAAGCTTCTGAGAAACTCCATCCTAATGAGACTATAGATACCTGACAAGGAAAGTAATTTATAAACCTGAATTACTACACAGATTTATTTGTGAATATCAAATAAATATATGCTTATTTATACAGACCAAAAATGCAGATTATAACAAAGTGCATGTGCTTTTTGTTAGTGTCTTTAGATGGCTACATTGGTCTTTTTTTTTTCCATGTATAACATTACTTTGAAGAGATTAAATATTCCAGAGAAATCAGCTGCTTCAAAATCACTGATGCACACAACCACTTGTCCTATGGATGTTTTAGTCTGAGCATTCAGACACCTCCTAGTACAAAACAGAGAGAAAACATGGCCTCAGTCTACTGGGCTAATAAGCTAAACACAACAGAGAAAGATGAACCTCACACCCCTACCCCCACCAAAAATGGTTAGATTAAGATAGATAATTTGCACAAGAAATAAGGATGTTCAGCCCATTATCTTCTTTTGTTTCCTCCAGGCACATCGCTACACTGTCCTACTTTGCAAAGGGAAAAACTTCTTCCCTTTCCCTGAATGGAAAGATACAGAGTAGTAGGGACAAGGAAATATGTGAGGAGATATAGTTTCTCCCAATAGTACATTCAACCAAAAGAGAACTTCTTTTTGTGAATCTATACAATCTGGAAATCCTACAGAGAGGGTATCTTTTGAAAGAACAACTGGAAATAAGTAAGAATCCGAAGGAATAAAAGGCAGGTGCTAAGAGACATGACTATGAGGAAATGACAATGCCTAGAACATGGAAAAATACCCGAATAGAAAATATAGTTGTGGGAAAGGAATGGACGAGACTATGACAAGACATGCCTAGAAAGCGGGTCAGAATTAAAGTGAAAGATTTCTATTATAGAGAAATAAGGTGGTGAGTAGAAAAGCATACCCTCACAATCCTAGTTTCACCTCTTCAGTATGTCAGTGTAGAGAGACTGCACCCTCTTCTTGGCTCCATACTTTTAACTGGGTCCAAATTTATTTTCATGCAAAGGGAATGTTGGGAGGGAAGCTGGCTTAACTGTCCCAGCATCTGTACATATAAAAATCAGGTGGCCAACGTGTATGTGTAGCTGGGACAAGGCATTCCTATAATACTGTAGAACTGCTAATGTTGTCCAATGACTGGTGGTGTTCCTGAATATGTATCACATCGTCTCTGCTGGCATCTCTTAGACGCTCTAAGATCCAAGCTGCTCCCTGCATCCATCTACCAAAGCGTGGTTACTAGAAAGCCCTACTCTGACAAGAGCAGGCTAACCTCTCTCTTGGTACATAGCTGAGGCTATCATTCACAACACCCAGCCAAAGAAAGCTAACAAAAGCCAGCAAAACAAAACCTAAACAAAACACCTCAAAATAAGATTATTCTTTAAATGTTCTGTGTTTGATATTGTTACCAAGTGTCTAGTCTCAGACAAGTATGTGACTTAAGGTTTAGGAAATTCCTTATAACTTCATCACGACCCTTGTTACTCCCATTACATTGGGTCTAAAAAACCTTTTTCAGGAATTCCACTTCAAACAAAACCAAAAACCAAGAGTTCAGTGGTGCCCAGGTAAGCCCCAGTAACAAAAGCCTCTTTGATTAGCGTGCAGGTGAAGTTAAGGCCAGGTGAAGAAGCCATAGCCATCAACCTCCAGACCCCTTCAGTCCGCATTCCTGCCTTTATTAAGCATTGCTGTCAGTGGCGACGTTTAGGTTGCCTATTCCCAGCACCTAAGTTCTGTCTCTCTAAGAGCAATCAAATGAAGAGAAATGTTGTGTTATAGTTCTACATTATAGCTAGGTTGATCGGACAGAGTGAATTAATGTTTTATTTGCCTAGACACCACCATAGTCTCTATTTAGAATGGTCTCTTCTTTCCCCTTGGCTACTACAAATCCTACATATTCTTTAAGGCCCACCCACTTCAGGAAGACTTCTTTGACTATACATTAACTGTACCATACCATGTAGGCCCTAAATATAGTCTGTCTTCATGCAGCATGGCATAGTGAGCAGGGCTGGGAGTTAGGAAGTCCGGAATTCATCTCCTGTCTCTGACACTCACTAGTTTTGTGACCCTGGGCAAGTCATTTTTAAACTTTATGCACCTCAAGCAATTCCCTATGACTTAACTAAATCAAAGAAGGTGTATGATCTGCATTGGTTATGGGAGCCGCCAAACTTGGAGTTCCCCACCCTGAAGAAATCATAGCTCATCCATGTATTCCCAGATTATTTTCTAATTGTTTCATGTTATTAGCCATGCATCTTTAACTAATATATGCTTCCCTTGACAACCAAAAGCACATCTTATATTATTTTCATAAGTTCTCATAGTGCCTAGCACAGAGCTAAGAATATAACATGAACTCATTAAATACTTGCTAATGGATTCATTTCAACAAGTAATAATACTAGCAGTAATGCCCAGTGAGGTACCATTAAAGATATTGAGTAGCCTTTTAGAATTTGCTACCTTGTCATTAGTTTCTGCTAAAACTGTATCTGGTAAGTAAATGATAATACAGTCATCATTTCTGATATTTTTTGGGTGACTAGCATACTTCAGTTACACCTCATGTCCACGACTAAAAAGCAAACATTTTCATAGTTTTTTTTCCCCTCTTTTTCTCCTTTTCCTTCTTTTTCTTCTTTTCCTCTTCCTCCTCTCCTCCTTCTCTCTCTGTCTTCTCTCTTCTGTTTCCACAGGTCAGCGTTGAAGTCTTGGTAGAATATCCTTTTTTTGTATTTGGACAAGGTTGGTCATCATGCTGCCCTGAGAGAACCAGCCAGCTCTTTGATTTGCCATGTTCCAAACTCTCAGTCGGGGATGTCTGCATCTCGCTCACCCTCAAAAACCTGAAGAATGGCTCTGTTAAAAAGGGCCAGCCCATGGATTCAGCCAGCATCTTGCTGAAGCACTCAAAAAATGACAGTCTAGTAGGAAGTAGACACAGGTATGCCGAGCAGGAAAATGGGATTAATCAGGGAACTTCACAGATGCTAGCAGAGAATGGTGAACTCAAGTTTCCAGACAAAATAGGATTGCCTGCAGCACCCTTGCTCACCAAAACAGAACCCAGCAAGCCTGTGGCGACGAGGAAGAGGAGGTGGTCTGCGCCTGAAACACGGAAACTAGAGAAATCAGAGGAGGAGCCGCCTTTGACCCTTCCCAAACCTTCTTTTATTCCTCAGGAGGTTAAGATTTGCATTGAAGGTCGATCTAACGTAGGCAAGTAAAGGCGCTTTGGGGGACAGGAAATTAGGCTCTCCCTTGTCATTTTTATCCAGATTACTGTACTGTAGGCTAAATAACCCAGTATTTACATGTTATCATCTTATTTTAGGTTTATGTTATAACCTTGTTGTTATAGTTGCAGCTGGTATTATGCAGGAGACTGGTGCATATGTTTTTTTCCACAAGCATTTGTCAGTGATTAGGTTGGTTGGGAGCTAAGGCAGGGGCTGCCTAGGCTCCACACATATATTGGATGGAAACGAACATGGCGTCCTGGCTCCTGCCTTTTTTCTGACAGTGCAGAAACACCTGGTGTCCAGCTGACTTCTGCTGATTCTTTCTCATGAGGCCACAGAAAGGGAATTGGAATGGAAGAATCAGAGTGAGTGAGTGAGTGGGTGTGTATGTGTGTGTGTGTGTGTGTGTGTGTGTGTGTATGGATGCAGATGTAAGTGGTTCTCTCTCTCTGCCTCTCTCTGTCTCTCTCACTCACAGCATGAGATTACAGCTCCATCGCAATTGTCATTATGAGGTCCTCACACACAAAATCAACATTAGGAACCCAGCTTTAAGGCATCTTCAAGAGGCATCAGGCAGGAAGCAAATAGTTTAAAACCACATTTCTCTTCAACTTATTTTACAATGAAATGACTTTTAATCCAATAAATATATATCTATATATAAACATATATTTTCCCCCATGGGGCCTGACTGCACTGATATTTTTCATAGAGTAACTGCCACATGCGGATTCCATTTCTGCTTTGCTAATGACATTGCAAGGGTGTAACTTCATGAAAAAAAAAATCTCATCCCCCTCTTGCATTGTTTTGTTGAGGTTGGATTGGGTTGGGTTTTCTCCTAGGGGAAATAGAGAAAAGGGTAGTGATACACCCTGTAGAGCTGCCAGCTAAGACCTACTCTCAGTTTCCATGCAGTGTTAGAAAAGCAGACTGGGTTTTTCCATGGACATTTGCTTCTAAGAGGTAGATATGTCCTGCCCCTTCACAGAAGGCAAACCGAATCTGTTTGCACTTCAGCTGGCAAATCTTTTGTCTTTTTGACTCTAGTACTGTTTCTAGTTCATGATTATGGACAACCTGGTGCCACTCTTTCAGATTTCAGTGTGACACATAAAATGGTATGTGGAAAATGAACACAATGTCTTTAAGCACCTAAAATGCTATTCACACTTTATTCCTGAGCATCTTGGTCTATCACTCAACTAGTACTGTATCTCACTTTTCATCTGTTTGGGAAGAAAAGCAAACACACAGGGAAATTATTTTCCCATCCCTCCCTGCCCCCAACACTGTCAACTCTAGTACAGTTAGGGAGAGTTTCTCGTGAGCAAGATGTTGAAAGTTTTTATATGGTTTAAAGGGATGAATGTGAATTATGAACCAGTATGTGACAGTAAATGTCCACCATGGGCAATTTGAAAGGAGGCACTTTTAAACTCTGATGCTTGAGAAAGAATAAAATGTGGAGCTGACAGAAAATCAGAGAAAATGAGAGAAAAGGGATAGAGGAAAAAATACTCATTTTTGTCCAGTGTTTTTTTTAAAGGATGGACTTTAAAGAATCTTGCAATTTGCACATCTTGAGTTTATCATTTATGTAGTGTTCCTTCAGTTTTTAATCCAGTAATGTTATGGGGAAGGGAGGGGGCTGAAAGAGCATAAATAAATGTAGCAATTTCTTTCTAACCTGCCTAAGCTCTAGGCTGTTTTATAAGGTTATGTTCCTTTCAGAGTTCATTTTGATCTTTATATCACATCTATCACAAAGAACCAGGACTTAGCAGGACAACTCTGAAAATCTTCAGATTCATTGAAAGTTTTCCATAATAAACATTTCTATATGTGATCAAGTTTTTTTTTAAAGAAAACTTATTTTATTATTATTGTTATTATTATTATTATTTTAATAATGACTTTTTTCCATTTGAAATCAAATCTAGATTTCAGAGTTTGGTACAAAACAGGAAAGGGTATCAGAGTTTTCAGTCTTTCATTCCCAGAAATCTGGAACATTTTGGGTTTTGAGTTTGCATTTTTACAGTGGTTTTAAGAAACTGTACCAATGGTGGGGAAACCAAATTTACAGTTTCTATATTGGAGTTGTAATAACCAAATGGAACAAAGAAATTCTCATCTGAAATTTCCTCTGCCATTTAACACAGTACTTCTAACTCCTTATAGAAATTTTCAGAAAATTCAAATATCAACCCAACCTTTGACTCGCATTTGTTACTTGAAATTTAGCTCACACTAGAACTAATTCTTTTTGTACCGTTTTCTGAGGTGTACCAAAAACATCTGAGTAAGTTTAAAATAGCTTGAAACTTTTCTTGAATTTTATTAACCTCTCAGCATGTTAGCAAATAGCAGTGATGCTGCTTATTTAGTGCTGTATTTTTTAAATGTTTCTGCTCGGAGAACTTGCTTAATCTTCCATATACTCTGCTCAGGGCACTTGCCATTCAATGGGTTTCATTTTTCTTCGTTTTTTTCCTTTCTTTTTAACCTTTGATAGTAAGAGAAATATGGGGCCACAGTCCAGACTTAGTTTTCATCAGCACCACTATAGTTGGTGGTTCACACGTACTCAGAAAGACACACACCTTTTGGCAAGTCAAGAAGCAAGGACTTTCAAACTTACTGGACATAAGGAATTATTCAACACTAAAATGGGAAAACATACACCGTTTGGAGCAATAGGAACATAATCGTAATTTACGTGCTTTCCATTTCAGGTACAGGAATTACAGAATAATTGGTTCTTTCTCAATGTTATCCCATTTGATTCTCTTGCTTTATTTTTTATTTTATTTTTAGCATGTGCAATACTTCATGTGCCAATGTAGATTCACCTGTGTACTGCTCTCTTTCATACTTTTTTTGACTTTTATCACCATTTGGTTATGCTTCCTCTTTTCCCCCAGAACCTTCTGTAGAGATGGGGCAGATTTCAAAAAAATAATTCCTTGCCACCCTCCTCCCTGCCCTTGTCACAAGTCAGGGGCAGAAGGAGGCTCTTCACCTTTTGAAGAAGTGTCTTATTTGTCTTCACATTTCAAAAATAAACAACCAACGAAACAAAAATGCAGACTAGACCCAGGAGAAGGAAAAAAAAATTAAAAAAAGAAAGACTTAGCTGTAGTTCCCTCAGTGACAATAAAAATGATGGTATGGTTGAAAAGGGTAAATGGAGGGAACAGACATCCACGTCATGGGCTTATCAGCAAGTTAGCCAGGAATCAATCCGTTTCTCAAATGTTCTTTTGCATGAGGAGAATTAAAACTGGTATCCTTGCCTGTTCACTTATGCCTATAGTTGTATCTCTGGGTGAGTGCAGGTCCCAGTGTATCCCATGTGTTGTCCAGACACGAACGAGCATTGCTGCCCATTTCAGGACTGTGCTCTTAGCTACTAGCAATGGGATCTAAGTCAAAGCTATTAAGTGGCAACGTAATAGCAGCAGCAATAGCATCTATTACAGAAGATTCACAAGTATGGGGGGGTTCCTTTCAACTGGCAGAAACTGGTAAGCCTTAGCTCATGGCTTCCAGGACTGTTGCTCCCATTTCAATGAACTGACAGTTTGGGTTGTTTTTTGTTTTGTTTTTGTTTTCTATAATGAAAATAACAATTACAGGCATAGAAATATTTAGCTATCATTCAGCTTAAGAAAATCAGTCATGTACCTCTCTGTACAATGCCCACTTTGCAATATTTACCAAGTTGGGTTTTTGTTTTGTTTCATTTTGTTTTGTTTTAACTAATAGCAGGCCTTTTCGTTTACAATGGAACACAATCACCAAGAAATTAGTCAGGGCAAGCATAAATAATAATAATAATAATAATATTAATAATAATAATAACAAAAACCTCTCTTTTTAGGGATTTCTAAATATATAAAATGACTGTTTCTTAGAGTGTTTAACTTAGGAATTGTTTCAGTTTGTCTGGGCCACATCGGGGTGGGGGGGATATGGAGTTCGATGCCACTTACCTCAAGTCCTTCTTAGTGGAAATCCAAATTTCACTTTCATTTTAATTCATATGATGACCTTCTATTGATTTTTTTTCTCCCTGTCCCTACCATCTCACCTCTACTCGCCTTCAAGTCATCTGAATTCACGCTGGGACAATTTTTTCTTTTGATCCCAGTTGTAACTCTGAATTGTGAACCTCCTATTGTGTCAACTTTTTTGTGTATGTGTGTACCAGGAAGTGGCATCACTACTCTGTCTCCCCTATCAAGGAACGTTGCGGAACCTTTCACACCTCTTAACTCAGGGATGGGGCTGGCGTGTGTGTGGTGCACTGATGTGTCCAGAAGCAGCACTTTGTCTGCTCTGGGGTAGGGTTGTTCGATTTCAAGGACAGTTTGGATTTCCTGCATCATGTGGACTACTTCCTAGAGACTGCATAGGTTGCAATACAACGCTGCACGTTCAGAATGAACTGTAGCTCTTAGAGATCACAAAATCTACTCCGTGCACAAAGTTTGATCTTAACAGAAATCTGTTGCCAAAACTTTGGGTTTTTCTTTTGTCTGTTTGTTTTTGTTTTTCAAAGGAAACAATTGACAATACCCTGTTAACACTTATGACTACTACTAAAGAAAATCAGTTCCTTTTGGCGAAGAGCAAATCTGAAAAGCTTTCTAAGACACTAATGCCATGTGATTTCAGAGATGGGCGAACCAGAGTTCTTAGGCTAGAAGGCCCCATTCACAAGATCTGGCAGTTGTATCGGCTTCTGTGGAGGGAATGGCAACAGGACAGACAGTGGCCTAGCCTCTACTAAAACCCTGCACGCTTCCTTTCTCGTGTCACCTACAATGGCACCTGAGAAGAATAGGGCCTGCATAATCTGCAGTCCTGCCCAATGCTTTGGTGGTGATGTGAAAAGCAAAGGAAATGAATTATACTTTTTGTAAGTGGAGTGGGGGCTGTTAATTCCTTTTTTGTGTTTAATCCCAAATTTCTGAAATGTAAAGTTTAAGAACACTCTGAGTAATAGAGATATACAGAGAAATGACTTTTCTTTCTTTTTTTTTTAAGAAAAAGCACATACAATATAATATTGTGTTCAGCTGGTTTCCTCTATTTTCCAAGGACAGTGTTGTGTTTCTGTTGATAGGGAAATTCCAAACAACTTGCACACCTCTACTCCAGAGCTAAAATTTCTTTTACATAGACGACCTCGCTTCAGATGTGTTACCTTACTGATAGAATCTTTCCTTGTAGCACTATACCTTGTGGAAATATTTTTTTTAATGTAAACCTAATTTGAAAAGCTTAAGAAAAAACTTTTCTGAAGCACTCACATTGAGGAGTACAGGTAATTTTTTTTTAAATTGCACAAAAGAAAAATGAATGTTGAAACGATTCATTCAGTGTTTGAAAGACATGGATCTGTTGAAACAGTGAGTTTCATACCTTGTTTGTAAAAAAAAAAAAAGCAGAGAAAGGTTAAAAGTTACATGTTGGTTATTTTTTTCCTTTTTTGTAAATAGAAATTTGTCGTGTCTAGATGATGGGATTTGTATGGTTATGGCCAGGAAGTGTTACTATTTAAAAGGCTCTTAAACTACAACTATGCTTAATGTTATGTTTATGTTACATGAGTCCCTTATTTGAGGGAGGGGGAACTCTATTCTGAGCTGAGAAAGCACTGTCCACCTGTACCTGTACTGAAAGTACTCAGAGCTTCTTCTCTCCTCCCGCCCTTCCCAGTTTTGACTTGTAAGCCATTGCAACTCCTTTTTTTTTTTCTGAGATGATGCTTGATATTTTCAGCACTTCCTGTTCCAACAAATCCAAAGAATATAATCTTGAACAAGAAGTGTTTATAACAAAGGATCCTAGCTACCAATAAATAAAGGACTCATTAGAAAAGAAAAAAAAAGTTGGCCTTTTGTCTCACCCTCCCCTCATACCTCATTGAAATGGGGGCCGTGGTAAAGATGTAGATTTTAATTTGAAAGCCACAATTTACTTGCAACAGGTTACTTTGATTTTTTTAAAAAATTCTTGTGATTCAGAGGCCAAAATAAATGGAACGTGAAGCAGTTTCTGAGTAAAGAGCCCTTTTGTTCTGGTCCAAAGATCAGGTTGGACAGCAGGAAACCTGAACAGCTGTAGTGTGAATGGGGGTGGTTTTGGGGTCATTGAGACCTACCCACAGTTCTTAAAATTCAGAATCTTTCCCTCTCCCTTAATATCTGGTATCTAACTGTCTGGCCACATTTTGGGGAGGGGAGGAGAGCATGGGGATCCATTTGTGATGTCCCCAAGGCTTACATAAAAATGGCTCAAGTGTATTAACATTTAAGTGCATTTGACCAATAGGTTGTATCTATATAATAACAGTCTTTAAGGATTTCAGTAACTTTTCTTGTTATCTAAAAGGACTCAAGTCTTCCACTGAGCATAAATTGAAGACTTCATCCAAGTTCTCTTTCTTTTTTATTTGTTGGTTCATTTCCTTTCTGGGTGTTCAGAGAGCCTGTCTCCTTTCCCTTGGCTAATCTGTAGGCCTGTATTGGAAGCATTGTTTACAGTCATACTCACTGCAGCAGATACTGTCCTTCAAAGTACCATGGGAGGAAACAAGCTTGAAGTGTCAGCTGGCTTTAATCAGCAGTTACCCTAAGAGTCTAGGTTCGTGCCCCCCCCTTCCCACCTCTCCCCACTCTGAAGCTTAGATGACCTACCTGCCCTTAAGTTATTATATGGTCAAGGAGTGGAGTTTTCCTCATAGACAGTCAATGGATGTTGAAAACGAGATATTTATATACTTTAGATCATAGACTTGCTTGGTTCTTAAGCATATGTTATTTCCATGAACACTGCCTTCCTGCAGTGTTAAAATAGGGATTCCCCCTCACCCCCACTCCCTACCCACTAATTATGAACTCAAATTACAGTGTCAACTAAAAGAAGGTTTTATTTTTTTTTTCTTAGCCCTGTCAGTATTTTCCGTGGCCTTAGGCACAAAGAGAGAATCTTCGTTTCTAGCCAGGGTCATCCATCCTGGGCCCAGAACCATCTCTGAGATTTGTCCCGTTGGACGTTTCCATGTTGGGTCATCGTCCCATCACACTTCCAATCTTCCGCCTCCCACGGGCCAAGTGAAAAGAGACACTGGAGATTTGTGTTGGGGGCACTGTGGGGCTGACATGGCCAGTACCAAGGAGAACTAGGGAGGGAATCAGGTTTTGCACCTTATTGAAAAGAAAAAAAATTTAAGTGCATACATAGTTAAGAGCTTTTATTGTGACAGGAGAACTTTTTTCCATATGCGTGCATACTCTCTGTAATTCCAGTGTAAAATATTGTACTTGCACTAGCTTTTTTAAAACAAATATTAAAAAAATGGAAGAATTCATATTCTATTTTCTAATCGTGGTGTGTCTATTTGTAGGATACACTCGAGTCTGTTTATTGAATTTTATGGTCCCTTTCTTTGATGGTGCTTGCAGGTTTTCTAGATAGAAATTATTTCATTATTATAATAAAACAATGTTTGATTCAAAATTTGAACAAAATTGTTTTAAAGAAATTGTCTGTATACCAGTACAAGTTTATTGTTTCAGTATACTCGTACTAATAAAATAACAGTGCCAATTGCAAGCTTGTGTCTGCCTCTCTGTTAGGTTCCCAGAGATAAACAATAGGTCAGAGAAAAGCCAGCAATCTGTTTTATTTTTTCCCCTTTTTTTGTTCACCTTGACCATAGTTCTCCATAGTGCAGGTCTGTCAAGAAGGGGTGAGTAAGGGAGCAGCTAGATGTCACAGTGGATAGAGCACCAGCTCTGGAGTCAGGAGGACCTCAGTTCAAATCTGGCCTCAGGCACATAAAAACTCACTAGCTATGTGACTCTGGGCAAGTCACTTAACCCCATTTGCCTCACTTACAAAAAAAAAAGGGGGGGTGAGTAAGAACAGTTGTTTCCCTCCCCCTGCCTCACACCTACCTCACTTCATTTTTTTGCATCCTTGGAGCACAGTTCATAGAAAACAGGCACATTTCCACATCTGGCATCTTGGCTCATCCAGTTAAACATTTTTTATTTCTCAAGAACTGAACAGTACCATTTGCAAGAAAAGTTGTTTTAAACAAGCATTTGGCAGCTCATGAACTTATGTGGCATGAGGGATTCACTGTATACAGTTCTGCTATAAACTGATTTCTGAGGAAGTTCATTCATTCATGTCATCCGCAGTCTGTGTGTGCCCATATGCCTTATCATAAATGCACAAGTAATTAGACTTCCCATTGTAGGTTCCCACTAGCATGACCTGTTCATCTCAAAGAGCTGCTGGACCATGAGTGTGCATAGAGCAAATGATGACTGATAAATGTATGTGTTTGGCCCATGTACACCAAACTCAAGGAGAAACAAAAGTGATCCTTCATCAGCTTCCTTCTGGTGAAAGATGTATGTTTCCCTGGCACCAAGTTGTTTGCTTGCCTGCCAAAGGTTTCCAGCCCTAAATGTCATCCAGTGGAGATTGGAGAGAGGAGGGGGAAATTTTCAACAGAAAACCCTCATGCAAAAATTTAAGCCACAGAAGGAAGTTCATTCTATTAGCCTAAGTTGAAATTGCTAATAGCTTTTGACTCTACTTCTCTACTTGTCATGTCTATCCTCGACTCCTCACTGTTTATGAGTTAAGATTTGAGCAAGTGACCCAGAAATACTGATGCCTACATGCCAGAAGGTTAAAGGCTTGATCACTTTCAACCAGGACGAAGGAAGACTGCTGGTCATCTCCCACCCTGGAAGATGGCATGCTAAAATGAATAAGCCACTAAAATTAGGTACTTTTCCTGCAGCATTGTGACCAAGCTCTTACCTTTCTGACCTCAGTCCCTTCCTCTTGGCACATAATCCGATTTTAACAACATAGCCAGGGGCAATTCTGACAGGAAGATGTGGGTCCCAGACAGTACACCACTTTTTATTGGGTTGGCTTGGCTAGGGTAGGAGCATTTAGCCAGTCTACTGCACAGGGAGGATTTGGAAAATACAGTAAAATGATAGCAGCTCGGCCAAAGCAATGAGAAATATTCAGAATCTACATTACTTAAGGCAGTTGTTAAGCGAGGTGAGTAACCCCTGCACTGTGTCAACATCTCCCAGCTAGTCTTTATTTAGGAAGGCAATCTCAATGCTCTTTCCTCTGACTCACACATGGAAAAACCTTCGCAGGATGCAGGTGTCATCTGTCCGTTCAGTCATCACCAAGGCAAATGACAGCTGCAGATTGATGCTACAAATGCCAACTGGGGGTCAGCTTAGGTACCCTTCCCTCTGTCTTGCTGCTCAGGCCAGCTACTGAGGCAACATTTGTTGTTCAGTTGTTTTTCAATCCTATCTGATTCTTTGTGACCCCATGTGGGTCTTCTAGCAAAAGATACTGAAGTAGTTTGCCATTTCCTTTTCCAGCTCAATTCACAAATTAAGGAACTGAGGCAAACAGGGTTAAGTGACTTGCCCAGGGTCACACAGTAAGTGTCTAAGGCCACATTTGAACTCATGAAGAGGAGTCTTCTTGACTCCAGGCCCAGCGCTCTATCTACTGTACCACCTAGCTGCCCACTGAGGCAGCATGGTGCTGTGCAAAGTATTCTAGGCTTGGAATCCAAAGGCCAATCAAGATACAGTGAAAAGAACATCAAATTTAGATCTGGAGGTCCTGGGTTCCAATCCTGGCTCTGCCATTGACCTTGGGCAAGTGACTTCATTTCTCCTGGTCTCCGTCTCCTCAATTGTTAAATGAGTGTTGGACTAGAGGACTGCCACGGTCCTTTTCAGTTTTAAATTTACAATCCTATGTTTCCATCACCTAAGTTGCAATCCTGGCTCTCCCCTCCCCCCACAATAATATGTGTGGTCTTAATTATTAGACAAATCACTTTTAACATCTGGCCCTCTGTTTTTTCATCTGTAAAAATGGGGGTAATGCTTCCTGCTCCATACATCAGTTGCTATCAGAGGATCAAATGAAATGTCTCTGAAAACACATTTAACCTGTAAAGCCCAATCTAAATGTAAACTATTCTCAAACCTGTGGAAGCAGAGGATATTTGCAAAAATCTTTGCTCTTCTTGGACTTCTACTTTGTTTTTAGGCCACTGTATCAAAATTACTTTGGCTTTTCTATCAGCCTCCATTTCCTTAAAAACAAAGATTAGCAAAGAGGTCTTCCACATAGGGGTACCCTGGAAAGAGTATAGGACTTGAGCTTACAGGACTACCCCTTACTTGCTTAAGTGAGCTTGGACATGTCAATCTCCCTAGCCCTCAGTAAAAATGAATGGGTTGAGCTAGACAACCCCTATGGTCGCTTCTCACTCCCAATATAAGGTCCTGTGTGAGACAGATCTAGGAGCCTGCCCCATTGTCTCACAGAATGGGCAGTAGTTAATCCTAAGTTAGTAGAGTCATGAGCTAATGGACCACATCTTTCTAGGTGCAGGATTTACTACTGTCTCATGTTTTCATCTTGGAGGTGAGGGGGAAAGAGCAAAGAGAGGAAAATTAGCTATAATTAAAAGACATCTGTTGCTAGGGGTGAAAGGGATTTTTTAAACTTCCTTTCATGTTTTCCTTCTGCCTCTCCCAAACCCATCAGCAGCACTCCCCCCAAATCTCCCTTCAACTAGTGGTTAAGAAAAATAAATAGTGACTATAAAGACAATAGGGCAAAGGAAACCCATTACTCATGAAGTTGAAGGCATACGCCCTTCCCCCCCGAAAAGAATTAAAAGTGTGATGTTCTGATATTTCCAAGATAGGCCCCCACCTTGCCTTTGTCCTAGTTCTGCCATTAATTATCTGGGTGATTATGAGCAAGTCATAGTCTCTCTGGGCCTTAGTTTTCTCCTGTAAAATGATAGGGTTGGACTAGACCATCTCCAAGGTTATTTTCCAGTTCTGAATCCCCATACACCACCCACGTTATCCAGATGTTGCATTGTTTCCCAACAGTAACTCACACATTTATCTTTATATAGCATGAAGAGCTATGTTCATGTATTTTGGGGAGAGGCAAGGGGTAAAACTGCCTCCACTAGACTTGAAGGTATTGGCAAGATATGTGTCACTGAGACATGGAAAGATTTCTCATTTTTCCAGCCTATGCCTCATGTTTCAAATAGCTTTAAGTGGAGGGTAAGGTTGAACCTGATAGTCTGCATGGTCAAGCACCAGAGGTAGCCCTCTTCCTTTGACCTACATCACAATGGGCAATCAAACACAAGCTTCCCAGTTTGTCCATATTCTCTTTTCCCAAAAGCCTCAGTCATCTCTAAAGAGACTCAATTTCTCTATATTGTCTTGTGTCTAGTAAAAACAAAGGCTGTTTTAAGTTGCTTAAACTTCCCAGTGTATTGATATCCAAGTAACTCTTTGAAACAAGGAGCCAGGCATCGATTCATCCAGTGTGCCTTCTGTTACTATGTCACCATGACTTCCTGTGAGATTCCTCTAGGGACCACATATCATTGTGATCTGTCAATCAGCCATCATTACAGTCACATGTTATCCACCATGAGAAACAGTCATTACCACGTCCAAGTGAAGTCTCTTAACTTAGAGTCTTACTCCTACATTCTGGTAAAGAGCTGTATTAACGGGAGCTGCCCTCCCTAGCAATGATGGGCCTCTTCATTACAAATGTTTCACTAGGATCTTTACAAAAAGAGGCTGTAGTACATTTAATGTGAGCACACAACCAAACAGGTGTTTTTTGAAGGTAAAAGGGAGGGGGGAAGAAAGGAGAGAAGTCCAAAGAGGGAAAGCCAACACCACCCCTGCCTTCCACAAGGAGAATAGGCTCAATGAATATGTAGCTATGACATCCCTAGAAGGCACATGTAATGACCCTCTGGCCACCACAGATCACAGATAAGGGACCAAACCCATAAGTAGCCCAGAGCTCACTTAGTCTATGCTTCATGTTCTCATACTTACAATCTTGGTGCTTTCTTGGGGATCAAGGTCACTACCCTACCTAGCTGGCTTTGCTGGGATCTTCTTCTCCCTGGGGAGCCTGCCCAACCACCACTGGGCAGTAGCACTGTCTGTCTGCTAATACCAGCAAATGCTAGTTTGACTTTTACCACATCTGGAGGACAGGCAGAAAAATCCCCAAACAGTGACCACAGGGCTTGATTCCGGCAAATGGAGACTCCAGCCATCAATTGTGAAGACACAGCATTATGTTAAAGTGAAAACTATTTTCTTTAAAAAAAAATGGAAGGGTCTCACATGGATTTCAACAATGAGAATGTTTGTTGAGGGCAGCAAACACTCTATACTGTAGCACTGGGCTTGGCTACTAAGTCCATCCCCAGCTACATGCCTGCAGGAGATGCTGGTTATGGACTCCCAAGGCCCTCCTGCTGCTCAGAGGAGGCATCTTCCATCATGAGAAGCCAGGAAGCTCTTACACAAGACAAGAAGGGAGACTGTGGGCAAAGCAGATGCATGTCAAAGCTTCCACTCTAGTTGAATGGGGTTTAGGTCCCCCAGGTTAGCTAAAGACCGAGTTGTGCTGCTGGGTAACCCGGATGAATGTCGTCCTCCGACTGAGCTCTTTGAGCTTGGCGGCACCAACATAGGTGCAAGTGGACCTCAGACCCCCCAGGATATCCAGGATAGTGTTTTCCACATTTCCTTTGAAAGGCACTTCCACAGTCTTGCCCTCTGAGGCCCTGGGGACAGAAAACAGTGATTACTCTGGGTTTATTTTCTTTCTTAATCGCTTACTTTTAAAAATCTATGCTTTAGAATTTCAGTAAGATGTCAAGGTTTTCTGCCTTGGGCCATCCAAAGCCTGAAACGCATGAAATCTCAGCTAAAAATGAAAGCAAAGTCTCCAGGACCTGAAATTTACCACTTGCTATCAAACCCCCACACTGAGCAAGTAAACATTCCTCAATAACAACTTCTGAGGCAACTGTAGATCTGAGCTTAGAACACAGAGAACAGGAAATGTGTGTCATCACAAGAGATCTCCACCCCAGACCTGAAAGGTAGCAACTAACTCGGTTCTACCTTAACCCATAGATAAATTAATTACCAATAGCCCAGAACAACCTAGGGAGGAAGCAGCATGCTGTTTTATTTCTGGGCAGGTATTTCCTTTTTTTCCAAGCTCTGAAAGGTGCTCCTTAGCACACTATGAGGCACCCTCATTCTTTCCATGTCTATGCAACAGCAGAAAAAGACTTCCTACCAAGAATCAGGAGCTGAGGCCATGTGCCCAACCAGAGCTTCTTGGGGACAGAGAGAGGAGATGAGGAGAGAGATAAGGAGAAGGAGGTAGATGGATGTCTCTTGCTCACCTCAGGCAGCAAGAAAGGTAGAAGATCTACCATCCCAAAGTCTAAACTGCTAGCAATGCAAAAGATCCTTCTGCCAGTCCCCCCAAGCCCACCCCCATATCCATAGGGACTCTTTCGCCTCCCACTGTACTTAACGCTAGATTACCTGCATTCTCATCACCACCATTTTGCACATTTTACACTAAGACTTGAAGGAAACTAGGGATTTTAAGCAATGGAAATGAGAAGAGAGTACATTCCAGGCATGGAAGAGGACCATGGAAAAGACACAAAGATGGGAAAGAGGGTACCATGTTGGAAGAACAGTAAAAAGGCCAATTAGATTGGACCACAGAGTGGGTGAAGTGGCATAACGTAAAATAAGGCTGGAAATGGAAAAAGTATGAAAGAACTTGAACACCAAAAGGGAGTTTATATTTGATCTTAGAGGTAATAGGGGGTGACTAGGTTTTGCTGAGTATGGAAGTAACATGGTCAGAACTATGGTTTAGGAAAAATATTCTAGGAGTTATGATGAAGATGGATTGGAATAGGGAAGTTAGGAGACCAATTAATAACTAGCATTTACTTAAGTGTTTTACAATTATTATCTCATTTGATCCTCACAACAACCCTGGGAGGGAGAAGCTATTATTACCCCCAATTTATAGATGAGGAGACTGGTGCCAATAGAGATTAAGTGACTTGCCCAGGGCCACACAGCTAGTAAGTGTCTGAGGTGGCATCTGAACTCTGGTCTCACTGACTGGGCAGCTAGGTGGTACTGTGGGTAGAGTTCAGCATCTTGGAGTCTGGAAGATTCATCTTCCTGTGTTCAAATCTGGCCTCTGATACTTACTAGCTGTGTGACCATGGGCAAGTCACTTACCCAGTTTGTCTCAGTTCCCTCATCTGTAAAATGAGCTGGAGAAGGAAATGGCAAACCACTCCAGTATCTCTGCCAAGAAAACCCAAATGGGGTCACAAAGAGTCAGACACAACTGGACATCACCACCACCAACTTCCCAACTTCAGATCTAATGCTGTATTCACTGCATCACCTAACAGGGCAGGTGGAAGATGAAGAGAGCCTGAACAAGGGTGATGCTGGCATGGGTAGAATATGGGGATGGTTGCAAGAGATACTGTACGAGTAGAAAAGACAAGGTTTGCCTACTGTTCATGTACAGGGAATAAAAGTAAAGGATGACAATGAGGTTGTGAATCTCAGTGACTAGAAGCACAGTACTGTCAACTATTCAGAAAAAAGGGTGGGTTGGGGAGATAAAGGGGGAGATTAGTCAGTTCTATTTCAGAAATACTGAGTTTGAGATGCCTAGAGGACATACAGATGGAAACGTCCAATAGATAGTTGGGACTGGGGCTCAGGAGAAAAATTAAAGCTATAAAATGAAGGTAATTACCCTGACTGATCAGCCTCCCAGGGACGGTCCAAGGAATAAGTGGTAAATGATTGCCAAGGAGCTATTAAAGCATAAGGAGCTGTGTCCTAATTGAATGTAACGTCAAAGTAGGAGAAGCCTTCTCATGAAGGAGAGGTCATTGTAATAAGCATCTCTTGTTCATAAGTCATTTCTAACAGTCTGAGAAGTGCCACAGGGAGTGAGAAGGGCCCTAACCATGTAAATGGAGCTCTGGCCAGTGGTTTGCTTGAGTGGGACTTTAATTATTTCAGTGTTTTCTTTCCAGAACTGTGCCTTGATACTCCTGAATCTTTCATTCTCTGTTATGTTTAAACCCTGCTGAAATTACAGGAGACTTGTTTCTTTCAGTTCCTCAGTTCCTATTTTGGTGTGCTAAATGTGGAGTCCATCTCTCCCCAGCCCCAATTTAGAATAAAAAGCAGAATAAAAACCAAAGGTTTAAAAAATGGTTCAAAGAAAAATTAAATCTGCCTAAGCAGGGAAGCTAGCCATCCCCCCTCTGCAACGGTCCTGTTTATATAACTGTATCTGTACAGGGTAGCACCAGTCTCTCAAACAGGGACACCAAATTCTGATATATCATTAAGCTTCTTGGCACTAGGCCTAGGCTCCCACTCGAGGTAGGAATTCCTCCCTCCTCCCCTAGCTGCACTGTGTAACCTGATGCATCAGTTACCACATGGGAGAAGGAGGCCTCTCCCAGGCTACTAAGGCTTTGAGAGGAAGAGTTGTGTCTTTTGTTCTTAATTATATGGAAGGTTCCAAAGTATTTGCATAACATCCTCCACCTCCTGGGACCCCTAACCATCCTTCAGGTCCAGATACTAGAAGGTAAGGGAGAGATGGAGTGGGGCAGCTAGGTGGCATAGCAGAGTCAGGAGGACCTGAGTTCAAATCCAGCCTCAAACACATGACACTTACTAGCTGTGTGACCCTAGGCAAGTCACTTAACCCCAATTGCCTCACCCCCCCAAAAGAAACCAATAAGTAAGATAATTAAATGGCTAACTATACTGCCTCCATCAATCGTCCAGCCTTTCCATCCGTGCCTCACCAAGACAGCTTTGAAAACTGACTACATTCAAATAGATTTGCCTTTAATAAATGATCTGAACACCATACTGTGGTCTAGACAGCAGTTGCATTATTAAGCACTCAAAGACATCTTTTCCAAGCCTGGTGACTGCTATATGACCTCCCCACAGGCTGGAAGTGAAGCTATTAAACACTCCCCAATGCTCCTGGGCAGAGAAGTCCAGCTAGAGTTCTCCCTATCTCAACCTCACCGAGGCCAGGAACACTGCTCTCACCATATTCCTGAACCAGCAGGTCCTCAAAACAACCATTGAAGGGCAGCTACGTGGTGCAGTGGACAGAAGGAGTCAGAAGGACCTAAGTTCAAATTTGGTCTCAGACACTTGACACTTACTAGCTGTGTGACCCTAGGCAAGTCATTTAACCTTGACTGCCAAACCAAAAAGCAAAAACAAAAACGACCAAGGCTTCCCCCAGAAGCCTTGTTTGCATGATAAAAAGTGCTGGATTTGGAGTCAGAGGCCCTGGGTTCAAATCCCAGCTTTGCTGCTTATTACCCCAAGGGATCCATTTAACCTCGATGGGCCAATCATCTCTAAATGATAGGGCGACCTACATTACTTCTGTAAAACCATCCATTCCAGAAGCATTGATTGCCTTCCACGTGGCAGGCTGGCCTAGGTAGTAGGGACAAAGGGACAGAAATAAACCACTTCCTGGCCCTGAGGAACTTACATTGTATGGTGGAAGGAGGAAGCACAACATGTACACAGGAAAAATAGATACATATATATACCTATATGTGTATGTTCATATGTGTGGTATACATATACATATATATATGTACATGCACACAGAAGAATTTCTTGGGGGAAATCAAGTGGTAGGGAATGAAGCCATAGGGTAGGGAATCAAGATGGACTTAGCAGCAATTCAGTCAAACCCTGCAGGAAGCTGGGAAGTCTAAGAGACAGAGCTGAGAAAGAACTGTATTCTAGGCCTGGAGGCCAGCTTTTGCAAAGACATGGAGGCAGGAGATGAAATATTATGTATGAAAAACAGAAGATTTGTTTGGCCGGAATGTAGATTGTATGAAATAACTAGCATTTAAATAAGTGCTTTCAGGCTGGCTGAACATTTTACAGGGCACTGGGCCTGGAGTCAGGATGGCTCATTTTCTTGAGTTCAAATCTGACCCCAGACAATTACTAGCTGTGTAACCTCGGGAAAGTCACTTAACCCTGTTCGCCTTAGCTTCTTCATCTGTAAAATGAGCTGGAGAAGGGAACGGCAAACCACTCCAGTATATCTCTGCCCAGAAAATCCCAAATGGAGTCATGAAGAGTCAGACGTGGCTAAAAATGTGAAACTGGAGTTCAAGAGAGAGACAAGAGCTGGGCATATAGATCTGAGCGTTACCTTCACAGCTGAATGCAGGGGAGCAGATGAGACTATCAAGAGAGTATATACAGAGAAGGAGAAGAGAATCTTGAAATATACGCAAGTCCATGGGGCAGAAACACAGATGACAACAGTGTAAAAGAGACTGAGGGAGAGCTTGGAAGGGTAGGAAGAGGACCTGGAGAGAATAGTGTCATGAATATTCAGTGAAGAGGGAATGCTTAAGTCAAGTCCACATACTTTTATTAAGTGCCTACTACTCAACAGAAACTGTGCTAAGCACTCAGGTTGCCAAGAGAGACAAAAACAGTCCCTGCCCTTGAGAAGCTCCCCGTCTGAAGGGGGCATGCACACATGTCTAGACACACAAACAACTATATAATAACAAGATATATACGGGAATTGGAAATAATCTCAGAGAGAAGGCACTAACTAGCATTGAGGGTGGATCAGGAATGGCATCTTGAGAATGGGATTCTCACTGATATTTGGTCAAGTTACAAATTCTGCAGTGAGACTAATAAGCATGAGGACTGAGGAAAGGTCATTGGATTTGATAATGAAGAGATCACTGGTAATCAGTTGAGTGATGAGGTCTGAAGCTAGATCGCAAGGGACTGAGAAGTGAGTAGGAGGTGAGAAAAGAGAGAAAAGTGAAGACAGCTTTTTCCCCCCCCCTAGGAGTTTGGTTGCAAAAGGGAGGAGAAATATAGGATAATAACCCGAGGAGATGATAGGATCAAGAAAAGTTGTTTGTTTTTTTTTAATAAAGGCTAAAGGAGCATTTGGCACATTTTTAAGCAGTAAGGAAGGAGCCAATGGACAGGAAAAGACTGAAAATTAAGGAGGGAGAAGGGATGCTTGGGAAATAGAGTTTCTAGAAGAAAGACAAGGAAGCATCATAACTAGCTCCCAAATCAGGTCCCCTAAAGACTTGAACTATACTTAAAGAAAAAAAAAAGACCAGGTCTCCCTCCTGCTAAATGAAGTACATATTCCAGCACTTCTGCAGAGCAGTTTCCAAAAGAAAAATAGAAAAGAAAGTCCTGCAGCTCATTTCCTTTCAGCCAAGCTGTGTCCCATTTCCATCACCCCCAATGTGAGGACGCAAAGCAGCTGGAGAAATTTAAGACATATTCAAGTCTGAATGCTTCGGTTGCTCTCTCACCTGTATTCAGCAACTCGTCCTGAGTGTTTCTTCATTGCCGTTTCAGAACTCATCCCATAGAAGAGCTTTACTTTTTGACCATTCCTCTCAATTACTTCACCCGCACATTCCGTGTGACCTGAGAACATCCCTCCCAGCATGACGAAGTCAGCACCGGCTCCTGAAAAGGGACAAGGAGAACCGAGAGGACAAGAGAACAAGAGAGGGCAAAGTCAAAATTGCCTCTGGGACCACTGCGGTCACAACACAGAGAAAATTTCTATCAAGTATGACCTACAGCCAAGAAGACCACGTGGGCTACTGAAAGGAGAGAGCCGGGGAGCCCTAGCATTTAACATATAACCTGAGCACTGAACTGCAGAGGCAAATGGCCAGTTGATTAAAGTTGATGATTGGAGCTATAGATAATCATTCATGGTGTTGATGACAGGAGTCAGTAAAAGAGCGAGTACCATACAAACAAATCCAAATCCCATAGGCTCATGGACATTTATTTAAGAGCTGGAAGGGGTCTCTTAGAGGTCCTCTGGGCCGACTTCCCACCCAGAGCCACTTACTTGTGGCTATATGACTTCATTTATTTATTCTTTCTTTCCTTTATTCATGTCATTTATTTATTTGCTTATTTATTTACTTATTTGTTTCCCAGTTCATTTATTCCACAAAAACTACATGACCTTAGTAAGTCACTTCCCTCTGAGCTTTGGTTCCTTCATCTGTAAAATCAAAGGATTAGACTAAATGAGGTCAAAGAATTCTTCCAGGTTGAGAATCCATTAACACAGGAAGACTTTTCTCCTCTGCTGCATTCTTGGAAGTCCCTTTAGCTCAGTGCACCCACTAGGAATGCCAGGGAGGATGTGGCCACTGCTTTTTCCCTGAAGGCTTCAACTGAACAAAAGGAAGGCTAGGCTAGGGAGGAGACTTGACTTACCCAAGGTGACATAATACCTGACTGGCAGAATTCACAGAGCATCCATTGCTAAGTTCCCTACCCACCATGGCCTCCCTAGATAATTTCAAACTATGGCCTTTTCGCTAATCAGTAAAACTGAGAGGCTGGAGGCAGAAATGTTTTCCCCAATGTCAGATCCACTGAGTCCTTAGGCCTATGGGTCCTGCAGTAATTCTGAGCACTGCCCTCTGCTGCCCCCTTGTGTGTCTCAAAGGCACATTGGAAGTACTCTCAATGTCCTGAAATAAGCACTAAGTCGGGACGCGGGGGAAGGGGGAGTTGGAAGGTGATAGATCATCTCCCCCGATCTTCACAGCCACTTCTCCAGAAAGACTTCTTAAGACATCTCCAAAGGCCTCATGATGGAAAATGCTATCCACATCCAAAGAAAGAACTATGGAGTTTTAATGCAGATCGAAGCATACTATTTGCTATTTTTTTTCTTCTGTTGTGTTTTGTTTCCTCTTTCTGGTGGTTCCTCCTATTGGTTCTAATTCTTCCTTACAACATCACTAATGTGAAAATATGTTTAATAGGAATGTATATATAAAGCCTATATCAGATTGTGCGCCGTCTTGGGCAGGGAGGTGGGGAGGGAGGGGGAGAAAAATTTAAAACTCAAAAGTTTATGGGAGTGATGGTTGATAAATCAAAATAAATTAATTAATAAAAAAAGAAAAAAAAGACTTCTTAAGCCCCACCCTTAAAGCAGGAAAAAAGGGGTGCATCCATCTAACCTACAAAGGCTAGAACTGATCAGCAAAGAAGACTTACTAGACTAGGAGTTAGGACACCTGGGTCCCCACTCTGAAACTAGCTTACTATGTGTGTGACTTTGGGTTCATCACTTCACTTCATCTGTACATGCAGGACTGGGACTAAATGATTTCTGAGGTCCCTTCAGCTCTTAAGAAAAAGTCCTAAATTCTGGTTTCTGCTTTAGTAGAGCAGGTAGGGTCAGGGGAACTCTGGAGCTGGCCAGGCCCCCATATACTCCTAATAGGCACAAGAAAATTGGAGTAAGAGCATATCAACAGAAACCCAGTGGGAGGAAATTCTAATCACTGCCCTGAGAACTCCTCTCCTCCTTACACTTATCATGCCCTGTCTCACACCTCCAGACCTCTAAGTGAGTGCCTTCGTTCTTGTTCCTCCTTCACCCAGAACCCATCCCTCCCTCAGCCCCGCTCTTCCCATTGGAGGCAGCCGGCTACCATTTGTGCCTGTGCTTACCAAATGATTTGGCGACATCTCCTGGACAAGTGCAGCCTCCGTCCTTAAGAAAAGAAAAAGCAAGTCAGTCAGAATGAGGCAGAAAAGGCAGAATCCCTAGTGGCCCCGGGATTGGTTCCTCTCTGGGGGATTTGTGTAGGATACACACACGAATATCCTGGCATCCTAAGTCATATTCAACTATAGAAGGAGAGAGAGAGAGAGAGAGAAGAGAGAGAGAGAGAGAGAGAGAGAGAGAGAGAGAGAGAGAGAGAAGAAGAAGAAGAAGAAGAAGAAGAAGAGGAGGAGGAGGAGGAGGAGGAGGAGGAGGAGAGAGAAAGAGGGAGGAAGAGAGGGAGAGATGGGGAAGAGGGGAAAAGAGATGAGAGAAAGGAAGTAAAATAGAAGAGAGAGGGGAAGAAAAATTTAGGGGAGAGAGATAGAAGAAGAGAGAGAAATACAAAGGAGAGAAAAGGAAGGGAGGTGGGAGGGAGATAAACAGATATGTTAGAGGGGGGAAGTGGGAAAACTTATTTTTAAATAGGGTATTGACAACAGGTATAATAGAAGAGGCACTTCAGTTTTCTCATTTGTAAAATGAGAAGTTGAACGAGATGACCTTTATGCTTTCTTTCATCTCTAAAGCCAAAAAGATTGCAGAGAATTTATGCCCCCCCCACCTAGTTTTCTTTCCATTTTCCTAAAACATACCAACCATGCTAAAGCATGTTACTTCTATTTAACCATTTTTGAAGTCCCTACTATCTGCAAGGCACTATGCTAGATATTAGGGATGAGAACTCAGACCCTATGCTCAGTGAGCTTACAACAGAATGGGAGAAAGCCCAAATACGCAATACTAGAAAGGGTCGATCGATCGGTACCTGGAGCCACTACGCTGGAAGAATGGCAGGGAGGGGGAGAGGGGGTAGAAATCAAATCAGTTCCCCAGAAGCTCCTTTCCCATTACCCTGGCAGGGGCCTGCCTCATTTGCCCAAGGACCTCTGGCACCTCTGCCCCTGGGGAGCAGCACACCTTGCTTCTGCCTGTGGCCTCCCTGAGTTTATTTTGGTTTTCATTCTAGCAAACCCCATTTTAAACAGCCAAAGTCAGTCGTCATTCCAAGCTTCTTCATTGTGTATGCACAGTGCACCCAGGAGGTGGGGAAAGTGTACTATTGGGTTGGAAATAGTTTCTGACCTCATCCTACATGAGTGGCTTACATAATCCACTGCCAGGCACTGCTATTTCTGCTCCAGTCTTCCTCTCCTTGGGCCATTCACACTCATGTTTATAAAACAGGACTAACACTTTTCAGTTTCAGATTTAATTGTTAGCCTTTCCCTCCCTCCTTTGAAGTGTGCTAGCAACTGGGTGGTGGATGGGGTGAGATTTTATTTGGTGCAAATGGCAAATTAATCTAAGGGAAGGGGAAAGGATACTGGGTTATTTCCTGCATTAAAAAAAAATCCTCCCACTTCACACAGATGCTATCATGCTTATATAATTTATACCATCCTTCTAAAGCCAACTGAAAGATCATTTGGGGCAATGTATATCATCCAAGCCATTTGCACATCACTGCATTTCCTATACAGCCCATTTCTAACCCTTCAAAGTGGTTTCATATTTAGCAAGAAGACAGCACCATGCTTTCTCTATAAGCACTGAGCAAATATGTGTGTATGATGGTGATGAGGAATAGCATTTGAACATGACTCTAACGACTTCTAACACAGGATGGAGGAGAGGCAGAGCAGGGCACTGGGATGATGGGAAAGGATGGTTATTTTTTCCCCACACAGCACAAAATAATAGCCTCTATTTCATGAGCATGTTAATGTTTAAAAGCACTTTCCTCACAACAACCCTGTGAAGTAGTTTAAGTACAAGTAGTTAGCTCTGTTTCACAGATAGGAAGACTGAGGCTCAGAGACATTCAGTGACCTGTCCGTGGTCACATATCTGTTAAGTGTTAGAGTCAGGACTTGAACACAAGCCTTAAGACTCCAAGTCCAGCACTCCTTCCAAAATGACCAAGAGTACGATGGCTTACTTCATACCTACATCTCATTTGCTCAAATATGTCTGGGTGTAGATCAGAAGTTAGAAGTTAGAAGAGGGGCAGCTAGGTGGCACAGTGGATAAAGCACTAGATAGGGCACTGGCTCCAGGGAGTCAGGAGGATCTCAGTTCAAATCTGGCCTCAGACTAGTTGTGTGACCCTGGGCAAGTCACTTAAGGAAATCTGCACAATTATAGGATGGGGGAAACATAGTTTAACAGCAGTTCATGTGATAAAAAACACCAACTTAGCAAAATCAATATTGGCCAGCAATGGACAGCAAATGCCAAATAATCTAATGTAAATGTAGTCTCCATTACGAGAGACTTTAGTGTCATACAGTCCTGCTGGGCTCTGCCCTGAAGTGCCATATCTTGTTCTAGGTACCACTCTCAGGAAGAACTTTGACAAACTGGAACACTTTGAAAGTAAAGCAATCAGAACTAACCATGTCATAGGAAGATCGTTTAATGGAACTGGGGGTGTTCAATCTGAAGACTGGAAGGGCACATGAGAGCTGTTTTCAAATATTTAAAGGGCTGTCATGCAAGATGGATTAGACTTGTTCTTCTTGGTGCCAGAGCGTAGAATAGTGACCAGTGAGTAGACGTTACAGGGAGGCCAATTTCAGCTCAATATAAGGAAAGAAATTCCTACCATTCAGGGCTATCCAAAAATGGAATGAGCTATTTCATGAAATAGTAATGAGGGCTCCCTTCCCAAAAGTATTCAAGCAAAGGCTGGATGTGGCCAGCAATCAGGGATATTGTAGAAGGGACTCATGTATCAGCTTTGGGGTTAAACCAAATGACCTAAAATATCTCTTCTGACTCAAAGGTTTTATGATCCTAGGACTGCCAACAAGGAGTTAGGACCATGACAGAGGTCTAAGTCACCAGCTACCCAGAAGCCAAAGGAGCCACCAGCACTACACGAGTCAATACCCTGAAGAACTGTGTTGTTCCCACGAAAAGAGGCAGTTCAAGAAGTAATTGGGGAAGACGTTGTTTCAGTCGTATCCAACCTTTGGTGATCCCATTTAGGGTTTAGGGTTAGTGTTTTGCCACTTCCTTCTCCAGATCATTTTACAGATGAGGAAACTAAGGCAAACAGGGTGATATGACTTACCCAGGGTCACACAGCTGGTAAGTGTCTGAGGCCAGATATGAACTCAGGAAGAGGAGTCTTCCTGACTCTAGTCCTAGCGCTCTATCCTCTGCACCACTTAGCTGCATCATTAGATAGCTTCCTACTCTGTTGTGGCTAATAGGGATAGGAGCATGTTTTGACTAGCTTTGTGACTGTCTGTAACTATTCTAGGCTGCCTTTCATGGTGTGTCTATTTCTGGGTAACACTACGTATTTTTGCAAGAATATTCATTCAAATAAAAAATAATCTTGAGCCCTGAGAAATATCTATAAGTAGTGCTATATCTACCATATAGTATAGAGGATAGCACTCTGGAATTGGAGTCACATAGACCTGAGTTCAAATCCTACCTCATATACTTGAAACACTATAAAAACCGAAAGTTTAGCTCTGAAACACTGAACAAATTACTTATCTCAGTTTTAGCTTCTTCATCTGTAAAATGAGGATAGTAACTGTGCCTATGTAAGCCAAAGATGGCCCTCTGACCCCCTGTACCACATTGCCTCACATATAGAATGTCATGGGAGCAGAGGGCCAGTCTTAGTCAGGATAGCTTGGGCCTAAGTCCCATCTCTGACACATACTGGCTGAGTGACCTTCAGGACATTACTCACTAAAACTATAAAGAAGTAATTAGAGGCAGCTGGGTGGCACAGTGGATAGAAACCTGGGCCTGGAGTCAGGAAAACTTGAGGTTACATCCAGTCTCAGATACTCACTAGCTGTGTCACCCTGGCCAACTGCTGTTTGCCTCAGTTTCCCCATCTGTAAAATGGGGATAAGAATAGCACTTACTTCCTAGGGCTATTGTGAAGACCAAATGAGAAAATATTTGTAAGGAATACTGCCTGGCACATAGTAGGCACTTAATAAATGTTTATTTCCTTCCTTCCTGTAAAGCTAGGAGAACAATTACTGATCAAAAGTGATGAAGATTTCCTCATCAAAAGTAACCCACACCAATGACATCATAGATCTGGACCAAAATTAAATATATGTGTATATGTGTGTGTGTGTGTGTGTATATATATATATATATATATATATATATATATATATATATATATATATATATATATATATATATGTATATGTATGTATCAGATCATTTTTTACACAAATACATATAGCTATCCACATAGTTCTGTTCACATGTTGCTTCTGCATACTTCAGGTCAACCCCCCCAAGGAATCATTTGAATAGCTTCCCCACAGTCCTTGTTAAGGCTGTTTTTTTCCAGTAGTTCTTACTCCTACCATTTCAAGGATGCAAACTGAAAAGTTCATTCTAAGTATCTTTTTTCTTTTTCTTTCTTTTTTTTTTTTGCTAAAAGGCAAAAGAGCAGAGAAAGACTCACTCAGGATCTGATACAAACACATATATGTACACATGTACTCATTATTTATAAATTAAAGGAGCCCAATTTTCATGTTTTGCCTTTAGCATATAACCACCAAAAAACCACATACACAAAAAAGGGCAGACTTCCTATAGCTCAACAACTTATACTGCCTTCTAACAGCCTCCCAAAGAGGCAGAAACAATGGAGGTAAGAATCATCTGATTTTTGGCAGATTTCTTGAACATATGTATGCTCAAAAGTATTTCCCCCATCCAATGCCTGAAATTCCACCATTAGAGAGTCATGTTCTCTTAGTTTCAAATACAAGTATCCCTGATAAAGGTAGCACATTGAATCAGTAACAACTTAGAGCTGGAGTTTTTGACCTTTTTTTGTATCATGGACTCTTTGGGTAGTCTAGTGAAGTGTATGGATCCCTTCTCAGAATAATATTTTTAAATGCATAAAACACACAGGATTACAAAGGAAATCAATTAAATTT